CTTGAAGCCTTGGGGACTTCAACTCCCAGAATTCCTCCTCCAGTCATGTTAGCTCATGAATTCTGGGAGTTGAAGTCCACAAAGCTGCCAAGTTTGAAGACCCTTGGTTTAAATAATAAATTGCCAGGCTGAACATTCTTTAGATTTCTTTCTCTGCTTTCCCAAATGGGAATGTTAATATTTTTTTTCTTGGGAAAAACAGGAACTTTTTGGACGGTTGAGTGGTATTTGTAGAGGTCTCCCTTCAGCATGTGCACGAGACAAGCAATTTGTAGTAATTTTTATATATAGGTGGTCCTCAACCAGCAACTATTAGTTCAGCGACTAAAGTTGCAATGATACTGGAAAAAAAAAATCTGACTTATTACTGGTCCTCACACTTATGACCATCACAGCATCCCTATGGCTGTGTGATCAGAATTTGGGTGCTTGGCAAGTTGCATGAATTTAGGATGGTTGCAGTGTCCCGCAGGGGTCATTTGATCACCATTTTTGATCTTTCCAGACGGCTTCTGAGAAGCAAAATCAACGGGGAAGCCAGATTCACTTAATGACTGTAGAATTTGCTCAATGACTGCGGCCAAAAACAAAACAAAACCCGGTCGTAAAATTGGACATGACTTGATTAACAATTGTTTTGCTTAGCATTTGAAATGCTGTGCTCAATTTGGTTAAGGGTAACCATATGTATCAAAACCAACAAAAGTAGCTGTTGTTTTAATGACTGCAGAAGAATCAGGAGATGAACATCCATTTGATGTGAATCAATTCAGATAAATACCGTGTTTCCCCAAAAATAAAACCGGGTCTTATTTTCTTTTGATTCCTGAAAAAATGGCTAGGGCTTCTTTTTGGAGGGATCTAATTATTGACTCACCTCATGGTGGTGGCACCAACAGCCCCACCCAGGCTGCCGGCCTACTTCCTCTGCAACCTCCTGCCACCACTCACATGCCTCGTCCCCCCCCCAGCCTCCATTTTGCTGTCAGAGCCTTCCAGAAAGTCCTCTGCAGCTGAGAAATGGGCTCTGGATTGATGCACATGATGCTCCCAGCCTCTGTTTCGCCTTCAGAGGCCTTCCAGAAAGCCTTCTGCATCTTATAACAGAGCTCCAGATTGATCTGGGGTCTTAATTAGGGCAAATTTTGGGGGTAGGGCTTAATTTGAGTGCATGCATTATGCATTTAAAAACATGACAGGGCTTCTTTTCGGGATGGGTCTTATTTTAGGGGAAACATGGTAGGAATGCGTCCCCGTGATCAAAATGATTGTCATTTGTGATTGTCTCGACCGGCTTCTGACAAAGTCAATAGGAAAGTTGGCAGGGAAGGTTGCAAATCATAGTCATGTGATGTCTCGCTTAACGTCCCCAGCCAATTTGTTTAATGATGGTGTCAAAAAAGATGATACAAAGGGATGTGGTCACATGATGCTTCACTTATCAATCACATTACCTGGCAGATTTTCTGGTCCCTAATGTGGTTACAAGTCAAGGGCTGTGTTCTGACCAAGGCTTATTGAGACACTAACAAACACATGTTAGTCTCAGAGCCCTTTTTTCTTTTTTTTTCAATGGCTGTGAATTTTAGTCATTCACAGCCCATAATGAGTCTCCAACACTTTGTAAATAGTCCCATGGAAGTCTGCCAAAGTTCTTCAGGATAAGTCTGATAAGCACGCACCTATATCTTCCTTGAAATGCTGCCAACAACTACATTTCCAATTAGTTATACAAGGCCAACTGGAGCACAAATTCAATACAGAGCTTCAGGTGTCAAACCGACCAGTACGAACAAAGTTGCTTCCTGCATAGTCTCATGTCCCTTTGCTCCTCCTTTATGTCTTATGGGAGGGCCAATCACCTCCAAGCCTTACTCCCGAGTCACCCCTTTTGTCTTAACTGATCTTGCCTTCTGGCAGCTCTGTGCACATGCACGCACTGGGAACAGGCTCTCCTTATTCCTCTGCCTAGCTGCTGTCAGATTCCGGAGGCTCCGGAGTCACCACATAACCGCCAAATGGCCCTGGCCCCATCTCTGTATCAGATGCAGGACCCTTGTCTGAGTCCTCCCCAGGCTGGCCCGTGTTCCTCCCCACTGTCCGACTCTGCTGCCATCTCCGCAGGCTGCCAGCGGACCACAACAACCTGTATAGTTGGGTGCATGTATAGTAACGTATAATTATGGTGTCCATTAATTATGGGGTTGTGTTTTTTTTTAAATCTTTTTTTAGCTTTTCTGGGAGAAGAGGCTTCAAGGCTTAAGTGCATCAGATGTCAGTGAGCAAATCATCAAATCCATGGAGCTTCCTAAAGGCCTTCAAGGTAACTTTGAGGTTTCAGTGGAGCCCTTTGAGTGGATGGATTCAGTGGTGTTAATCCATGAACGGAAGTGCAGGAAGTCTGTTTGCGCATCCCGGCCGGGAAATGCTGGGAGTTGAAGTCCACCCACCTTAAAAGTTGCCAAGTTTGAAAAACAGTGTCTTCAATTTATAACAGTTCATTTAGTGACCGTTCCAAGTGACAATGGTGCTGAAAAAAAGTGACTGACGACTGTGTTTCACACGACCGTTGCAGTGTCCCCGTGGTCACATGATCAAAATCCAGACGCTTGGCAACTGATTCATATTTATGACGGTTGCAGTCTCCCAGGGTCAGGTGATCTGCTTTTTGTGACCTTCCGGCAAGCAAAGTCAAGGAGAGAAGCCAGATTCGCATGTTACTAATTTAATTGTGTTAAATTTAACAATCTCGGGGATTCACTTAACAACAGTGACAAGCAAGGTCGTAAAATGGGGCAAAGCTCACTTAACGGCTGTCTCACTTAGAAAGGTTGGGCTTCACTGTGCTTGTAGGTCAAGGAACTACCTGCATTATATCAATTACAGGTAGAATTTGCTTGTTAACAAACTGAACTTATGCTAAGCTGTGCCTTAGGGACAGAGCAGTGGTGGGATTCAAATTTTTTACTACCGGTTCTGTGGGCGTGGCTTGGTGGGTGTGGTGTGGCTTGGTGGGCGTGGCAGGGGAAGGATACTATAAAATCCCCATTCCTTCCCCACCCCACTAACCTGATTTCCAGCTCCATTCTCCTGTGCAGGGCAACCAAAGAAGACTCAGCCAATCAGCTGGGATTCGGGAGGCAGAGAATAGATAGGGGCGGGGCCAGTCAGAGGTGGTATTTGCCGGTTCTCTGAACTACTCAAAATTGCCACTATTGGTTCTCTAGAACCGGTCAGAACCTGCTGAATAACCACCTCTGGGACAGAGATCTTATTTGGCATTTTTGATAGCAAACCCAGCCTTCTGAATATGCCGAGCTTTAATGAGTCAATTTTGTATTCGCTCCCTAGGTGTGGGCCCCGGGAGCAACGATGACACCCTCTTGTCAGCCGTGGCCAGCGCATTGCACACGAGTTCTGCGCCCATCACGGGACAACTGTCTGCCGCCGTGGAAAAAAACCCAGCTGTCTGGTTAAACACATCACAGCCTCTCTGCAAAGCCTTCATCGTGACGGATGAAGACATTCGGTAAGTCCTTCCCAGACTGCGTTTCCCGCGACACACTGGGCTCTTTTGGAGAGCTGCATAGTCAACCTTGGCAACTTTAAGACTTGTGGACTTCAGCTCCCAGAATTCCCCAGCCAGCCATAATCCAAGTTTCATCCCAGTTAGCCCGTTTCTTTGGTTCTTTCTAATCTGTGTCTCTCCAGATGTCTTTGCCAAAAATCTTGGGAGTTGTGTCACAGGATTGTGTCTTTGTAGTGTCAGAGAAAAGTGTACTTTGTTTTCTGTGAGTATCTTTTTTTAAAAAAAGAAGAAACCCTTCTTCCTTTGTTCCTTTGTTCCTTTGTTCCTTCCTTCCTTCCTTCCTTCCTTCCTTCCTTCCTTCCTTCCTTC